CCCTTTGCACGTTGGTCACACTTAGCTCATTCCGGCTTCCGAAATCACCAACCCCACCCCACAGGTCCTTACTTCTAAGTGCGAGGAGTGGCTCGACTACCAATGACTGCGCCATGCTGTATTAGACGTACGTACCTATTAGTGGTATTTTACGTCCTACTAATTACGCGATCAGTACAGCATACAAGCAGCTCGTACGGACTCTTACATAAAGTAAAGTTAGTTATTTATAGATCTTCTTACAGGATAAGCAGCGAGCCACAACCAATGGAGAGTCTATTTGTAGAGTGGAGCTAATAACAATAATAAAATGACCTAGAGTCCTTCTCCTTACACCACAGTTGATCCCACACGATATTTATTAATGCTCACCCCTATAAGGTGAGTATATTACATTTTATAAAGCATCAAGTACAAGACCTCCTAGGAACTAGCCGCCCGCCGCGCTCACTCGCTCCGCGGGCTCGCTCGCGGGAGGTTCCCCGGGCAGCCGCGTCCCGCCGCTCCCCGCGTAGCCGGAGTCTCCCGCGCGCCTGCCGCTCCACTCTGGTCCCGCCGCGCCACACGACGCCCCGCCCGACGGCGACATGGGCGTCCCCCGGGTCGCGGTCGCTTGCGGCCGGCGCTGGGGCCCCGTGCTCTTTGCTGTCTTCCTGGCTGCGTCCCGAGGTAAGGTCGGCGCGGGGGAAGAGCCCAGCAGGCAGGGTGGGGAACACTGGTGGCTGGGAGGCCCTGAGAGTCCCCCGCTCCCCGCCTGCTGTGGACCCCACCCGCATACTGAAAGCTGCTGGCGTGGCGGGGCAGGGTGCAGCTGGGCCGAGGGCAGGGGGCAGCACGCACACCTGTACACCCTGACAGCTGCCCGAGCCACAGGCAGGCCGTCCCTGGTGCCTGCCTGTCCAACCCTCCGTGCCCAGGTGCCCCATGCTCAGCAGCTCTGCAGGGCATGGGGTGGGCCGGGGTGGGGCAGCCCCTGTGGGCTCCTGCAGGTGGTAACAGCTCTAGGCAGCTGGGCGACTCCCTGCCCTCTGACTTGGGGCAGCTTCTGGCTGAGCCTTGGTGGGCCCTGCTCCACTCCTGCCATGCATGGTGCTGCCCACCTGGTCACTACTCTGAGTGACAGATCAGCAAGGCCAGCGTGAGGCATGGGTGGGGGAGGGAGGGGTGATGTAGGACAGTCTCCCAGCTCAGCCGCGAGTCCCTCTGGATCCCTGGATGATTTAGGGCCTCTCTCTGGCCTCAGCTTCCTCAGCTGAAGCCCCATGCAAGAAGTGCCAGTTTGCTCTCGCACAGTCCACCCTGTCATAGCTCCAGATGGCCTCCTGTCCAGGGCCAGGGCTCCTGGGGGCAGAGGCCCTGGTACCCACAGCCTGGCCCCTGGGTCTTGCATGCCTAGAGCTGAAGAGTCTCTGCATGTCGAGGGGAGACAGAGCCAGCAGGCAGCCTGTGGACCTGAAGATAGTCGGGAGGGCCCAGGGAAAGTGTGAGGCAAGCGGAGAGTTTGGCAGAGTGAGCCGATGGGCAGGTCGGAGGGGGAGGAAGTGGACAGGGCTTGGAAGGTATCTCAGAAACCAGCCAGGTGCCGGCTGGCAGGCTGGGTGTCTGCTAGGGAGGACGGCTGCCCACACCCTGGCTGGGACGACGGAGCAGGGGATGAGGGCAGGCAGGAAGGCCAGCACCGCACCCCCCCAAGGGCCACCTGCCCTGTGCGGTCTTCCCCAGGAGACCCCGTGAGGCTCTTCCTGTGGGCTTGGCCCTTCCCTGACCTCGCTGGGCTGGGCTGCACTTTGTTTAGCAAACTCAGCTGGAGAAACTGAGTTCCAGATACCCAGGGCCCAGGGGCCCGGCTCACAGAACATCCAGGGGCAGGGCAGCCCCGTGAGGGGCTCAGAACCCCTCACCTCCATCACCCGCGTAGCCAGGACCCGTCACTGCCAGCTCCTTGGCCACTCAAACTACTTGGTGCCCCCAAAGGGCCAGCTCTTCCTGGACCTCACTCAGGGGGTAATGAGGGCTCTGTGTAGCTTTCCACTAAAGGGAGTTAGCAGAACGCTAACTCTGCACTCAGTATTCCTAACTGGGTTGCAGGTGCGCGCACACATATTCAGTACACTCCTCACTGCAGCCTGCAACACAGGAGGTCGCGCTGGGAGGCCTTGCAGTGAGTGGGGGAGAACACTCCCCAGCCTGCTGAGGCGCAGGGCTGTCCTGGGCAGGACTTCTCAAGGTCAAAGCCTTTTAGACCGGGGAAGGCAGGGGGGAGTAGCTGGAACAGACCCCTTCTCCAGCTCCTGGGCTGGGCTGGGCTGGGCTGGCACCAAAGACCAAGTGTGAGGCGAGCAAGAAGGGCTCATCAGAGAGGCCCCTCTCCTGGGCCTGGCGCAGGCTGAGATGGGTGGAGGGGCCAAGACCTTGAAGACCCCAAGGGGGTGGACCTCGTCATCCCCACCAGCTTTCCCAGCACCTGTGCACGTCCCTATCCTTGCCCTGTGCTCACAGGCTGACTCGGGAGCCCAGAATGCCAGCACTAGCACAGCCAAGTTCATGGGTGCAGTGGGGCTGGGCGGGGCGGGGGGGTCTCTTCTTCCCCTTCTTGATAGACGGGGCCGCGGGCCCTTGTGGAGTAACTCAGTGCTGCAAGTCTCTGACGCGGCAGCGGTCAGCTCTTGGGAAATCCATGACCCACTGCTCAGAGGTCCTGGAGTGTGAGAAACAGCCTTGACGTTGAGCTGCCCAGTGCCAGGGCCCAGGAACCCCGAGGAGCTCCGTGCTGAGCTGGGATGCCTCCCCCCACCCCAGGCAGAGCTGGGTCTCCCTGCTGGGGCCTGACCTCCTAGGCAAGGGTGCCTTGCTGGAGGAGCGAAAGGGGTCACATCCCTGCCTGCACACTGGGAAGGGGGTCATAGGCCTGGGCAGAGAAAGGGAGGGAGTGGCGCCGGGGACCCTTCTAGGCTGTTGGCAGGGACGTAGCTCCAGAACCCAGGCTTGAGGCCCCAGGTGTTCGGCCAACTGTGCAGCCAGGATCCATCCGGCCACGCTGGCAGAGGCTGAGCAGGGATTGGTACTGGCTTCAGATGTCCCACGGGCCAGCAGCAGTGCGGCAGTGCCGGCCATCCCGGGGCCTTCCCCACAGCACGCCTGGGTGGGAGCGCTAATCAAGGGTCCTGTGCAGGCCCTGCCTGGCAGCTCGGCCCAAACGCCAGATGCTTTGTGAACCCGGACAAGTTGGTCTGCATCCATCGCTCAAAGAGGGGCGCTGGCAGCCCGTCTCTTATACGTCCCCCGGGGCCTGGATCCTCACACTGCGGCGTTCCTCGGGGCTTTCCCTCTGAGCTCCGGGCTGCCTCCCAGGCCCTGCGGAGGGCCCTGGCTGCTTCCCTGGGGCTGGGCTCCGGGATCCGGGAGTCTGAAGGAGGCAGCGGCTGGGTGCAGCACCCCCGGGGGCCGCCTGTAGCACTCCCGGTCTGCCATACCCAGCAAGGTGCCTGCGGTTTCTCCACCTGAGGTCCTCCAGCTGAGCCCCGGCGAGCTTTCCCGCCCCTCATCTTTCAGCCCATTTGCTTTGGCTGGCCATCTCTGCCACCTTGCTGCCAAAGCTCTGGTAACAGACACCTGCAGCCCCGTTAACATAGGATCAGCTAGGATCTTATCTCCCACCTTGCCCGAGCCAAGTCCTGCCTCTGCTCCTCATTTGTGCTGGGGACCTCCCACCCCACTTCCCCTTCATCTTGCGGTGGCCAGGTTGCGGGCCGGGCACAGTTCTCCCCCGTGAGGCCGACTGCTCCCTGCTCAAGGGTAATTCCACAGTGGTGCTGCCCGAGCTTGAGCCGTTTGCTCGTCAGCCTTAACACCACCTTTTTTTTTTCTTTAAATCTACACATTCTTTTGTTTGAGCAGATTTTAAAAGGAAACTTTAAATCACTGCCGTAAGTGGAAAGCCGGTATCATTTGCCAGAAATGGAACAAAATCATAATAGGAAAGCCAAATAAGGGCATTCGATTCTAGTTGGAAACTTTAGCCCAGGGAAGGCTCTAAGTCTGAAATCAGCTGCCCCTGGCAAAAACAAACAAACCAAAACCCAACTGAATTAATAAGCAGATGGCACGAGGCAAGGATGTTGTGAACACACTGTCACCGACTGGGACTTTCTCTTTGATATAACCAGGGCAGAAAGAGAATTGAAAAGGGAATAACCTTTTCTCTATATGATTCAATGTTATTTAACGCCGTAAAACCAAAAGTAAAACTAAGTTAGAGATGCTGCAGGCAGGCTGGGCTCTCATTGGCCAGGCCACCTGTCTATCCGCAGGGAGTGGGTGGGGCCTCTGCACAGTCTGGGGCGCCCTCCAGTCTCTGGGAGAGGTCAGCCTGCACTGGACCCTGCTCCCGGCATCACCACCAGCCCCGAGACGGAGGGCCGCGGCCCCTCCCCGTGCTTGGTTTCCTCACCCGTGACATGGAGGTGATTCTAGCACCTGCCTCGTAGGTGGGAGGGGAGGTCGAAGGAAGTGATCTAAGGGCTCAAAGCAGCAGCCCAGCCCCTGCTTGACCACCGATGTGCCTGCACGGCAGAGGAGCCCGGGAAGGAGCCCTCCCGGGGAGCCGGCCCTGGGCAGGCATGCTAGCCTGCAGCCTGCAGCCTCCAGCCCCGGATGCACGGGCGCTTTCCCGAGGTGCTGGAAGTGCTGCTTCCTCCTATAGAGCCCGGCTTCCCCTTCCCGGCCCCCTTGGTCGGCTGTGAATGGACACTTCCGGAGGGGGCAGGTATCAGCACACACATCTGAGATGCCCTTTGTCCCGCAGGCCAGCGCTCCTGCCTGCGCCCTGGCCCACTTCCTTTCTTAGCCCCAGCAGATGCAGTCCTGACTGCTCGCTGCCTCTGTTTCCCTCTGCGCCCTGCAGCCCCCCGGGGACCATCCTGGGGGACGGGGCCTGGCAGGGAGCTGGAGCTGGTTCCTGGGTTTGTTTGGGGCCAGCAGTGGCCGACAGTTTGCAAATGTTTACTCCACAACCCCCTCCGCAGCTGGACGGAGTCCTGGTGTTTGGGTGGGGCCTCCCAGGCCTGACTAATCAAGCCTGGGACCCACCTCCGAGGGCTGGGTGTTGCCTTGGCGACCACAGGCTAAGGTCACAGCTGTCAGGGAAAACACCCAGCCGTCCACACCCACACACAGCCGTCCTGTGGGCTCCCAGGAGCCTGCTGGGCTGAGCCAGGTGAGGGTCCCCAGGAGGGGGCACGTGGGAGCACCAGCAGCTTGGCTCCGAGGCTGTGGGGTGGGGGTGGGGGCTCTGGGTGCCACAGACGCGAGCCTGAATCCCCAGCTTCACCCCTCTGTGGCGCTGGGCCAGGCTCATGTCAGGACCTTGCTAACTATGTGTGGAATGAAAATGAGGTTTTCAGTTTGGGTCTGAGCGTGCAGCGGCTGGCGTGGGGTCAGAGCATCCTGTCGGAACAGCTGGAGGATGAGGCATGGGCTCAGAGCCCTTTGGGGGCCGGGGGCCCTTCCTGTCTGCAGGGTTGGTGCTCAAGGCGTGCTCTCAGCTTGGTCACAGAGGGCTGTGCAGCCTTCGGCAAGACGCTTGGCTTCTCTGTTTTCTCACTGACATGGAGCTGGCAGTACCCGTGGCAGGGCGTGTTAGAACCAAGTGAGGGGAGCAGGTGCTCAGCAGGTGCCCCACGCATGGGAGGTGGTCACAGATGGCCCTTCCTCCTGCCCACTTCAGCGCTGGAGGGGCCTCCAGCATGAGGGGTCTTGGCTACAGATGGAGAAAGGAGGTGCACCCAAGGCCACACAGCACGCGGGGCCCAGGGATCTCGCTGCCGGGGCGAGAGTTTTCATCCTGACCCTCAGGGTCTTCCGGGGTCAAAGCATCCCCGCCTGTTCACCCAGTGGCCCCAGGAGCAGCACGGGCGCTGGCTGTTCCTGCCTGGCACGAGCGCAGGGCCCGGCCCTGGTGGTTTTCCTGTCGCGCGTGCTCTCGGCCATCCTGGAGCCAGGGGCCTTCCTCCCCACCCACTTTCCCCGGTCTCTGACAATGAGCCAGGTGTGGGAAAGCAGCTGCTCCTGACAATGAGCCACATCCTCCACCAGTGATTGCGACTGCAGCCTGGAGCGGCCCGGGTGCCTGCACGTCTCCGCCCGCAGTCCCCAACACCGTGACCTCGAACGTCCTCGGAGGACGGACAGCCGCTCTGGGCTCTGTCCCAGCTGTGCGCTGGCCTCCCCTCGCTCTCCAGGACCAAGCCCTGTGGCTCCTCAGCCCCTTCCCACCTGGGCAGCTGCTTGAAAGTGAACTCTTGGCCCTGTCCCCCAGGCCCGAATCCTACACAGCTTCTCCTTTTTTCTAAAAGGGGAAGAGGTCTTCAGGGGAGCCAAGGGGTGGGTGGTGTGTTGGGTGCTGGGGATTGAGCAATGCCCCCTTTTCCTGCCGTGCCCAAACCCTACTTCTCTCTGCGTCTCTGTGGGTTTTGAAGGAAGCTGCCTTCAGGGCCCAAGACTCCCTCCCAGCTGTGGGGTCACCACCGCGGCCTGCACACTGCAGACCCACAGCCTGTCTCCCTGCCCCTCCCCCACCCCGTTCACAGGGACACCCAGCCCACCAGCAGGCCCCCATCTGGGCCCCTCCCCCCAGCTCCACTTCTGTGCGTTGCCTCTGCCTCTGCTGCACACCACACCCTGCTGCCCCAAGGCACACAGTACTGCCAGTAAGTGCTGCCGGGATGGACTGCAGCTCCAAGCCCTGGGGTGGCCCCAGCGTGGCCCCGGGGCTGGAGACGGTGTTAGGAAAGGGAAAGGGGCAGCGGCTGGGAGAGGTGCTGGTGGCAGCTGCCACATGGCCTGCTGGGAAAAGTGGCCACACAGGGCAGAGATAACACCAGGGGCCACTCTTTGGGTGAGTCAGTCCTTTCGGGGGGCACCTGGGAGAGTCACTCCCCTAGGTACCACCCACCCTGTGGGCTTTGGCACAGCCACAGATTTGTAGCCACATGCACGCGATGCCAGCCTGTGAGGTGGGGATCTCAGGCTGGCATGGACAAAGCCAGGGGCACAGCTGGGCACAGCAGGATAAGAGCAGTGGGGTAGCAGAGTCGGTTAGTCCCTGCCCAGCAAGCTTCCCCTGGGCAAGCTGGCAGACCACCTCTCTGAGCCCAAGGGTCACATCTGCAGGCTGTGGAGCCCCACCCTGGCTTGTCCGGGAGCCACATGCTTGCATCGCAAACTCAGACGTTCCCAGGACTGACAGCTGTGGTGAGGCAGTGAAACGTTAGGGAGTGGTGGGGACTGTGGCAAGCTGGACGGTCAGTGTCCCCCCACCCGCCCTGTCCCTGAGGGGAGGTGGCTCTTCAGCTGCAGCTACAGCTGCCCTGCGGGGAAGCCGGTTTTGTGTTCTCTTCTGATCTTCAAAGGGAAGCTAGGAGTCAGGCTTTCCGTTTCAAATTCCTAGTTTGTAAAGGTTGGCAATCTCAAAATCATTGCAAGAGGCTTTGAGAGTGAAGTAAAATCGCTCTGAAGGCTGGGTGTGGCCTGTGGGCGCCCAGGTCTACTCCTGCGCTGCAGCAGAGCGCCCAGGCGCCCGGGCTCACCCACCTGCCGTGTGGGCCGCGGTGAGCTATGCAGCCTCTCTCGGCCTCAGCTTCCCCAGCTGTGGATGGGAACCCCCCCACTACCTTACGAGATGATTACAGAGGCCACGGAGCTTTAGCGTAGCCCCCCATGCACTCCCTGCTCCCGCTGACACCCGATGGGGCTGCAGGCCAGCGGCCTTCCGTCTCTGGGCCTCCGAACTTCTGCCTGGCGGGGACACCTGTGTCTTGCCAAAGAACCTGTGCGGTCTCTGCTCACCCTGGCGTCGACTTCCCAGAAATCTCGCTTCCCGGCGCCGCTCCCTCTCACACGTGGGGGCAGAGCGCCTGTCTTCCCCGCCTCCCAGGGCCCGACACTGCGCCCCTGCAGACACACACTCTGCTGTCTCCTGGGCACCCTAAAATGTGCAGGCCCTCGGGCCCGGGCGCGAGTGTCGCCAGTCCTTCCCACCTCAGTAGGAAACAGGGTGAAGCCCGCTGCTCCCTGCCATCGCCTTGTCCCCACCCGGCGAGCGTGACCTGATCTGCTGAATGGATCAGAGACCCCCCCACTCCCGTGCATCCAGCAGCAGCTACCGGCGGGACGTGCAGCTCCCGTCACGTACATGCTCACTACCCTGGCCTCACTCCCGCCGGTGGACGTTTCCATTTCTGTTTTATTCGGAGGAGTCTATAGTGAGGCCCAGCCACTGGATTCCAGTGCAGCCTGGCCCTGCTCTAGGAAGCACAGCAGGCTGCCCCTCCCACGCGCCGGGGCAGGCTCTCAGCCTGCTGCCTGGGGTCCTGGGCTCCAAGGGCAGGCATGGGGTGTCGGGAGGAGGGCGTGGCATTATCTGGGGTGCAGGCAATGCCATCGTGTTGGGGCAGGGCAAAGGTGCGTATTTCCCAACCTCCCTTCTCTGTGTGCAGGATTGACAGCAGCCCTCGCACAGAACACACGTAGCCACCTCCTCGGTGTGCAGAGGGCATCAGCGCACGCTTCGTGTTCTCGGCTCCCCTCATCCGCTTCTCTCGGAACCTTGGGTGCTGCTACTATTTTCTCCTGGCACAGCTGAGGAAGCAGACTCATCCACCAGAGAGTGCAGGGACCCCCACCACTCCCGTGCTTTGCGGGGTGGGGTGGGGGTCAGCCTGGCTAAAAGCCGGGGGGTTGCTCCATTTCTGAGGTCGGGTGGGAGGCGGGTGTAGGAGTGAGGCCACCTGTCCACCTGTCACGGACTCCCCGCCCCGGCTCTCAGAGCCTTCGGTTTTCCTGCTTCTCTACCGCCCAGCCAAAGGCGCCCCTCCACCTGCTGCAATCCTATCTGTCCATCAGGGTCACAGCGGCTCCTCCTCCCCCAAGCCCCTCAGTCATCTGTAGAGGTCCCGCTTGCTCGCTCCTCCGAGTGCCCTGAAGGTTGGCACTGGTCTGTCTCTGTCTGTGGGGGTCCTTTGTCCCGCGAGTGGGTGCCTCTGCCTTTCCAGATCGTCGGCTCTCAGGGGAGCCCACGTGTATGGCGTGGCACGTGTGGGCCCCCCACTGGGACTGACTGATGAGATGGGAAGGCACAGCTTGTCCCGGGGTGTTGGTGGACCCCTGGCAGGGGCACCCGGGGCACAGAGCTGCTGTAGCAAACATCCTTTCTCACCCCACCTCCCACAGGGTGAGCCGTGGAGGCCGGGCGATGAAGGGCCTGGGTGGTCACCTTTCCTGCTCTGTGGGCAGCTGGAGCCCGGGGGAGAGACACACTTGCCGGGCCCGGCTGAGTCTCTTCTCGTCCTGCCCCGCTTTTCGGGACACCCCGAGTTGGGGAAGCTCCTGTGGTTCCCTGTGCTAAAGAAGAAGCTGGGGCCTGGGGGAGGTCCGCTGACCTGCTGACCTGCGGCTGGGGCGTGGCCAAGGCCAAGGCTCTCGCCTGCTCTGGGGGTGCTGGGAGCGGTGTGCGCTCAGACAGGTGACGGGTGGCAGGCGACAGGGCTCTCCTTTCTCTGTGCAGGTCTGGTGGCAGCCTTCAAGGTCAGCACGCCATACTCCCTGTATGTGTGTCCCGAGGGGCACAATGTCACCCTCACCTGCCGGCTCCTGGGCCCTGTGGCCAAGGGGCACGACGTGACCTTCTACAAGACGTGGTACCGCAGCTCTTGGGGCGAGGTGCAGGCCTGCTCAGAGCGCCGGCCCATACGCAACGTCACATTCCAGAACCTTCACCTGCACCACACGAGCCACCAGGCTGCCAACAGCAGCCAGAACCTGGCCCGGAGCCACGGGCTGGAGCTGGCCTCTGACCACCACGGCAACTTCTCCATCACCATGCGCAACCTAACCTCGTGGGACGGCGGCCTCTACTGCTGCCTGGTGGTGGAGCTCCGGAGCCACCACTCGGAGCACAGGGTCCACGGGGCCATGGAGCTGCAGGTGCAGAGAGGTGAGGGCCTGCTCTAGGTGATGGGGAGTGTGTGGTACTGCGCGTCTGATCATGTGGCGGTGCGAGGTCCTCTGCAGGGTGGGGGTGACAGCGGCACTGCTGGGAGGCTGTGTGTGAGACGGGTGGCTGTGGGTGTGTGGGCGTGGCCATGTGGTTAGCTGGTGTGAGAAGGAGGGTGTGTGTGGCTGTTTGTGACACTGGGACCTTTTCATCTGAGAGGGTGGCGTGCCTGGGCTGGGAATGTGACTGTGCCCTTGACAACCCCAGGGCTGTGGTGGGTACAGATGACAGTGTGACTGACAGGTGCCATGTGGTGTGAGCTGCTGGCTGGGTGGCAGGATGGCTGTTGGGGAGCGTGCGTGTGTGTGTGTGTGTGTGTGTGTGTCGGGGGTCGCGGGAGGGTAGTGTGAGGGCTGGTGGACTGGATGGACAGAGGTGTGGCCTGGCAGGTGTCTGTGTGCCCTTGCGGGGGTGGCGTGGGGATGCAGGGAACAGGCCAGGGTGTGTGTGTGTGTGCGCGCATGGGCAGCGGATGCCAGCGTGGACAGGCCCCCCAGCCTTGTGAGCCTGATGCCCACCTAACAGCCCTTCTCTCTGCTCCCACAGGCAAAGACGCACCATCCAAATGCATTGCCTATCCGCCCTCGCCCCAGGAGAGCGAAAGTAAGGCACCAGCCTTTGCCCCTCTGGGGTCTCTGTTTTCCTCTGCCCGCATCCCAAACCAGGCCCCTTATTGGACCCTGACCCTGGCTTCCCATGCTCACGGAACATGCATTTTGGTCTGAGCCAGAGCCCTGGGGAACTAAGACAGCCCTGGGCTCAGGCCGCGCCCCCGCACCCCGCAGTGCTCAAAGCTGGCTCTGCGCTCACCTCCCCTCTGAGCGGCCCCTCCTCCCCACCCAGCCGGCTCGCGGCCTGAGCACAGGCACCTGTGCAAGGGCTGCACGGCCAGCGGGGCGCACGCCACGCCCCCTTCCCCATGGCTCCTCCCTGCTTTTTCCTCTGGGAACCCTCGAGTTGCTGCAAGGCCATTGGAGACAGCAATCTCCATCACAGGTGGGCAGCCCAGGTTCAGGCAGGCGAGGGCACTGGCGCCCCGGGGCCCAGGGGAGACGCTGGGGCACGTGCGCACCGCCTGAGCACTGGGCTGCTTTCCTGCCCTCAACAGACTTTCTGAAGAACGGTCGTCCCCTTTAAGTCCGGGCGACAGGGACAGGAGGTGCCAGATGGGCGCTGCTCTAGTGACCAGGTACAGAACAGAGAGGGAGCTGAGATTCGGTGCATTCCCCCTGATCCAGAGAAGCAGCTGGTGGAACTCAGGAAAACCAAGCATCCAGACCACCCCAGGGGTCAGGCGGAGAAGAGCCCCTGGGCAAGCTTGACTGTGATGAGGGGGCAGGGCTCCCCTGCTGGGCGTTTCAACATCTCCATCCCCTCCACCTCTGCTGTGGCCTCTACTCCCCTGAGCTGCTGTCCCCAGTGAGCTGGCTCCTTGGGAGAGACTCGCTTTGGTCCCAACTGTTGGGGGCAGGGGGATGGTTCTGATGACCTTGGAACCCCCTTCCGAAGTCTTGGCACTCACAGGGAGAGGATCCCAGATGAGAGGAAACCCAGCCGTTCTGTTGGGTTGGGGGGCGCGGGGCTTGGACAGTTCCTCACTGTCTGGGTGCCATCAGCCCCCTGAGAGTGAGGAGCCACTGTGTCCCTCTCCTAACAGGGAGGTCATCAGTGTTACCTACAGGGCTGCATCAGGGATGGACATGGGTCAGGTGACAGGACAGTAGGGATGAGCAGGGACTGCAGGGAGCACCCAGCTGCCAGTGTAAGGGCAGTGCCAACTGCTGTGTGTCAGGACAGGGCCCCAGGGCCTGCAGAGCAACTAAGTTTTCAGGAACAGTCAGATTTTATACGGAGTCTCTCCCTTTTTAAAAATGTTGCCAACTACTAAGAAAAACTGTTTGTGTGCATCATGGCTGCTAGCTGCATCCATTCCAGTGAAAGGCCGTGCAGTGACTCTGAACAAACTGGGCAGGGGCTCTGGGCCTGTTTTATCATCTGTAACGTGGACATGATGTCCTAATCGTGCTGAGGTGTTGAGGTTAAAGCTGGGCATTCTACATAAAGTGCCACGAGCCACGCCAGGTGCAGGCAAGGTGCCGTGGAAGTGTCGGCCCTTTCTGCTTCCTGAGGTGTGACTTCCCAAGCCACCAAGGCAGTGGAGAGCCTGGTGCTTCTCTGATGGCTCTGCACCGCTGGCCTGGAGACCCCGGGGCTGGCGGCTGGGTGCTGCTCCCTGCTGTCGCTTCGCTGTGGAAAGCTCTAAGACAGGTGCTCCACAGCCACCGCGGCGCCTGGCCAGTGACTGCTGCCCCTGGAACAAGTCCTTGGGGGTTTTCTTCTCTGCCTTCTGCCCCAGCCTCCTAATGTTACCCTTGGGCAGGAGGAAAGCGGCTAAACCATGAGATAAGCCCAAGTCCTCAGGAGCCAGGGGTGGGGGAAGCAGGAGGGCGGAGCCACAGGCGGGCAGCCCCACATTTCAGGGGGTGCTGTCTGCCTCAGCCTCCTCCCTGCCTGGGGGAGCAGGCCGCCCAGTCCTGAGAAGCTGAGCTCCCTCCTCTGCAGACACCTGTGAGGTACCTGGCAGGCCCTGGACAAAAAACTGACTGAGCTGGCGCGGCCACTCCCCTCCCACGCTGCGGGGTAAAGGCCTGGCGCACTCCTCCGTGTGGTGCTGGCAACTGCCCCGGCCAGCGCCTGCAAAACCTCCCCAGGATGTGACCAAGCACAGCCCCTAGCCCCTCCCAAGCAGGTGCAGCCCTGGCACCGGCCGCCCTTCAGGGGAGGGCCGCAGAACTGTGGCCAGGCTGGGCTTGCACAGATGCCAGGAGCTTCAGGGGGCAGCTGGACCTGCAGACCTATCCCAACCCCCTGCCCTCTGCCCCAGCCTCAACGCCCAGCCCAGGATATGGAAACCTCAGGTTCTGGGGCCGCAGGGAGGGACTCTCCACCTGTGGATGAGAGGCAGGCAGGGAGATCGGGCCAAGCCCCAGGGGCAGATGGGAACAGGCTGGCATGCACCTGGCCCCCGTCAGCGACTGTTGCTTAGCAACCGTGGGAGAAGCCTTGTAGCACTGCCTGTCTCTCAGATACTGCCCGTAGCCGGGCCTTTGAAGGAGCTCGGACGCACGCGCGGAACATCTGAGTGAGCGCCGGTTCTTACTTTCACTATTCCACGCTGAGAGGCGGCCTTGCTGGAGCTGCGGGGAACCGCTCTAACACGGAGTGGCGCTTGCTTGGTAATTAACACGGCAGCTGTTCCTGTACCAGCGGGTGCTTCTACAGCGCTGAAAACAGTTTGTTCTCTTCCGCGTGGCATTGCTACCCCACTGCTGAAAGCTTGTTTACACCCCTGGGCTGTTGAGCAATACCATGAGATACAAATGGCCTTCATTCCCAAATGCAGCGTGCAGGGGCAACGCTCAGACCGCAGCACGTCCACCACGTGAACTTGACATTGCCAGGAGGGTTCCCAGCCCGTCTCTTGGTGGAGGGAAGGGCTCAAATTGGGAAGGAAATGCGTGTATGCCGGTTGTGGTTCCAAGGGCACAGCCGTTCCCAGCTACACTCCTAGAGTCAGCAGATGAACTAAAATAAACCAGACCCTCCTGTGCTGATGGCATCAGGAGACGTACAACCTTTCCGGAGGAAAATTTTACAGCAGCTGAAAAGAAAATGCACGTACTCTCTGGCTCAGCACTTTGCCTGCCAGGAGTTCCTGCACAGAAGTGGCCGGGAATTTCAGAAAATGCATGGAAAATGGAGTTAAAGGAGAAGTTTGTTTTGGTGCAAAAGTTTTTTTGAAAATACAGGGTTTTCCAAAACATGCATTTCCTTGAACTTTTTGAAGGACCCTTGTTTGTGTGAATTTTATGATTCTTTGCACCAAGACAAACCTCTTTTAATTCCAGGTTTCCATACTTTCTGACGTACGCTCATCATTGCCCTAGTGAGCAGTGATGTACCCACGAGGTGGCCCCTGCTCTAGTGTTAGCTTTGTCGAAAATGAAAGCAAACACACACGCTAACTGGTGGTGCTTCAATACATCTGGGCCGAACTGTGCTAAGCCCTAAGCAGAACGTGGGAGGTCTCTGTGCTGCTGTGGAGATGCCCAGCCAGGCTCGGTGCACACAGCGGTTGTCCGAGGGGCCACCGCAGCTGTACACGCGGGGGGCAGGTGTGGACGGGTACACGAGGGCATGCAGGGGGCAGGTCTGGATGGGTACACGAGGGCGTGGGGATGGGGAGGAGGTGTCTGCAGGGAAGAGCCTTGTGAAGGCTTTTTAAACTTGTGCGCTTTATGTTTTTGCAACTGTAAAAGTTCAGAATTCAGAAAGGTCCTGCAGTGGGGCACGTGTGTCTAGTTCTCGGGGCACAATTTGTCCTCCGTCACTTGTGTGGATGAGATCAAGAGGAGGGGCCTGCAGAGTGGTGTGGGGGTGAGCTGGAGTTTTTACTGATTTTTTGTGGAGATAAAACACACTCCTATGCAACATGGGACGTGCTGTTTTAGCCAGTTTCAGGTGGGCAGCTCAGTGGCCTTAACTGCAATTCTCCATGTCGTGCAATGCTCACCACTGGCTAATTCCAACACTTTTCCATCACTCGGACAGCTTCTGACCTTGAACTCTGTGGCATGGGGTCTTCAAGGCCCCCCCCCCATAGGGGACAGCCTGTGGCCCATGGTGGGCCAGCTGACCCCTGCAGGCCAGGATGAGGCGCCTCTGCTGCCTTGCTCCTCTGTGCTCTTGGCGCACGTCGGGGGAGGCACAGGGCTCTGTTTACACGGGATCCAGACCTTCCACGCCTCTGCAGGTCACGGGGGCAGTGCATCCTTCGCTCCGGGAGCCCCGGTTTGCCGTGGGGAGGAGCGGTGGGACTGAGGCCTCACTCGGCTGCCCCTCTGCCCTTGCAGACATCACGGCCGCGGCCCTGGCCACGGGCGCCTGCATCGTGGGAATCCTCTGCCTTCCTCTCATCCTGCTGCTGGTCTACAAGCAAAGGCAGGTGGCCTCCAACCGCCGTGAGTATCCCCGGCCACGGGGGCACGGGGGCGTGAGTGACCTGCCCTGCCCCTGGGATTGCACGCCCTGCTCCATTGTCCTCGCGTGGAGCCAGGCTCCACGGCTGAGAGACGAAGCGACCCGGGCAGTGCCCTCTGGGACAAAAATGACAGGAGCAGGGGTCTTAGAGACAACTCAGCCCCTTCCTCTTACAGACAGGAGCCGACGCCCAGCAGGGTTAAGTAAGTCATCTGATGCTAGGGGACTCGGCAGCTGGCAGAGCCAGGGCCCAGCCCGAGCGCATTCAACCTGAGCGTCCTCAGCTCTCCGTACGCTTGGTGCCACCACTGTCCCCATTGCACAGACAAACGCACTGAGGCTCAGAGGGGTTAAGTAGCTTTGCCTAAGGAGCCACACAGCGAATGAGTGATGGGACCAGGCTTCAAGTCATGGCCACAGACACACCCCCAGGGGACCCTGCCTTGCTTGAGCTCTGCTCCTCCTGTTCTCCAAAAACAGACCACGGGACACACGCACACACATACACCCTGAGCTCACACCCGATTTCCTCCTGACAACCCGATGTCCCTCCCTCCCCTCTCTCTGGGCCGCCCAACCCAGAGTGCCCAGGGGGTCAGCAGGGGGCTGTGACCACCTTGCCCTTCTTCCCAGGACTCCCATATGTTTGCACCAAGGCACACGGCCCACCCCCAGGAATGCCCTGAGACTGAGTCAAGGGGTTGGGAGAAGAGAGGAACCCAGGGGCTATCGAGGGGGAGAAGTAGCTGCAGAGGCGGCGGGAGCACCTGCCCATCCACGTATGGGAGGGGTCCAGGAGGGAGGCCTGCTCAGCCAGACGTGGCTTCCAGGTCAAGGGCTGTGGTCTGTGTCCTGGTCCTGGGATTAGAGCTGGGAACAGGACCTGGACACCAAACCCATCGTGGGAGGAGGATGCTGTGTGTGGGGGTGCGGGGGCTGGGTTCCTGCTGGCACAGGGTCCCGAGTTGCTCCCAGCCTCTCCCTGTGCTCCAGGCCTACTGGGTGGGGGACAGCTGGAGGAAGGACAGTGAGAGGGAACAGCCCCAGGACAGAACACAGGGAGTCTGGGATCAGCCCCCAACACCTCCTGCTGCACGCAGTATGACGGCTTCCATCCAAGTGCTGGCTCCTGGGGCTGCCTGGGGGAAGGGGCAGATGAACTGAACTGAGAGGGGACGGGTGGGTACAGGGGGCTGGCACAGCGACACAGGCTGCAAAGTCTGCATGGCACCCTAGCCACAGATTCACCATGTGCATAAGAGAAAGGTCTCTGTCATTTATCTTCCAACAAAAATAGCTTTGATGCCACTCCCCCCAACAGAAGACAAATTAGCCATCTGATTGAAGTCTTGGGGCAGAGACGAGAAATGCCGTCGAGGCCGAAGCTGGGGAAAGATCAGGTGCCAAACAGAGAAGGTGGGCAGACTGAGTTTGTGCCCCCTTGATGGAGGCGCTGGACAAACAGCTGCTGGGATTCAGGGGAAAGACAGCACCTGGCGAGTCCTGGGAGTCTGGGCCAGCGGTGGAAGCCGGAGGGGCACAGCGGAGCCGAGTCAGGAGAAGGGGCGGGGTGCGCTCGGGGCAGGAAGCTGGCCTGGAGCCTGCTCCGTGGGGCGCTCTTCTCAGGAACACACACAGAGCAAGGAGCAGGAGCACTGGGTGGGGGTGTGCAGCAGAGGCCAGCTGTGATTCCCGCCCAGCGTTCCACTGGGGCTGTTTCCCCACTCTAAGGCAGGAATAGCAGCGCCTACCCCAACGGGCAAGGTACGGGCAAGGAGAAGAGTCACCCCGGAAACAGCAGCCAGGATGCAGATTTCGGGAACGTGGGAGTCACTAGCCTGTGTGTATGCTGGCGTCCAGCTCCTCCCCCACCACAATCAGCTGGGGAACCCTGCACGGAGTGGAGCTGGGGCCTTGCATCTGGCTGGCAGCCAGCAGGGCACAGGGAAGCCCAGGAGGGAGGCAGGAAGTGGGGGGAATGATGGGGATGTCACGGGGCCCTCGGATGCCCTGGGAGATGTCACCTCTGTTAGGCAGTGTGGAGGGTGGGGGCAGAGATGGCCAGGACCCCGGTGAGCAGGAGCTGACCAATCACGGCCAAAGACCAGCACGTGGCAGATGTCCAAGCAGGAAACCCTGGTTAGCAAATGCAGGAGCTGGGGCTTTGGCTGACACCGTATGGGTCAAACAATAGAGAAGGCGCTGGCTCCTCTGGCTTCCTGGTGGCAGATGTCCTGCGCACCGGGGACCTGCATGTCATGTCCTATCTGTGAACAGTCGCAGTGGGCCCCCCTTGATGCCCCACTGCTGGACGCACCAGACAGACCTGCAGAGCTGTACCAGATGGGCCTCATGGGCCGACAGAAGCGGGGGGCTGGGTGAGCAGGCACCTGCCGGTGGGCAGGGATGCTGCCTGGGGAGGTCTTCCCTACAGTGACCCGCTTCTCTGTCTGTCCCTAGGTGCCCAGGAGCTGGTGCGGATGGACAGGTAAGGCCCATGGACCCCTCCTGGAGCCAGCTTCCCTGTGGCTGTGTTGGAGGGCCACCAGTGGCCGCCTAGCACAGCCGGGAGTGTTGGCTGATGCCGATACACCTGGGCTGCTGCCCCTTCCCCAGTAGGGTGATGAGCCGTGTGCCCGCTTTCGGGCCTCAGTGGCTGAGCCTGGGTTATGGGAAGGGGAGGAAGCAGCTGACCTGGAGCGGACAGTGAAACAGAGGAGCTGGGGCCTAAGCCCAGCCCCACCTGGAGGCGCAGCTCCCCCCAGCAGGCCAGGCCGAGTGGATGGGGGCACGGGCCGGGGCGCTCAGGGAGTGAGCCACACTCGGGGACTTGGCCTCAGGCCAGCAGCGCCAAGCCCAGAACTCCTTGGGGGCTTTGAAAGGGACGATTTTCAAGAGGGATCCCAGGAAGCCCCCAAAGCCCTTCTGGGAAGAGACCACACTCCTCAGCTCCAGTCTCAGGGGACACTCAGTCCTGATGCCACTAACTCTGATGACCAAAGAGAAACTTGGAGCCAAGCTCCTGAGCCTACTGTCCTCGAAGTATCACCAACCCCAGGCTTTGTGGCCAGGCCCGGGGTGGATGTCAGCCCATCTACTGGCTGCCCTGATGCCCTGAGCTAAGGGCAGGGACACAGTGCAGCCCACGGCCCTGTCTCTGAGGCCTGGCTGCTGGCGGCTAGGGCAGCAGGGGAGGGGAGGGAAGGGGCGGGGGCAGCAGGGAGGACAGAGGCTGTACGCTTAGTGCTGATGAGCTTCCCTTCTGCTTCTGCAGCAGCAGCAACACCCAAGGACTGGAAAACCCCGGCTATGAGGCCTCTCCAACCTCCCAGGGGATGCCTGAGGCCAAGGCCAAGCCCCCACTGTCCTATATGGCCCAGCGGCAACCTTCAGAGTCCGGGCGGCACCTGCTCTCAGAGCCCAGCACTCCCCTGTCTCCTCCAGGTCCTGGGGATGTCTTCTTCCCATCCCTGGGTGAGTGCTTCCATGGTTCTCGCCCTGTCCTGGGAGTCCTCCCAGCCTCGGGGGCTGGTGCTGGGGGCCAGGGGCCTAGGAGCTGCCGTTCACTCTGCTGCTTTTGCCTTGCAGACCCTGTTCCTGACTCCCCAAGCTTTGAGGTCTAGACCAGCTCGGGTGCAGTGGATGGCCTGGGGCAGGTGCACTGGAGCTGGACCAGCCCTCGGCATGGCCTCCTCGGCCTTGGTTTGCTCTCTTCTGCTCTGAGCCCAGACTTTGTGACCCCCCCCCCCCCCGATGCCCAGACCCTCTCCCCCTCTGGATGCTGCAGGGGAAGGAAGATGCTGGATTGCTCGGTCCCCTCCCAGTGATGATGGGGTGCTGGGGTCCCCCTCAAAGACTTGAAGCTCACCAGCTGCAGATGCCAAATGACCTGCATCCTAACAAGTCCCGGATGCCCAGCTCTGCCATAGCCTCTCTCTCTGGGACACGAGCCTTGGGGCCTGGGCGCATCGACGGGACAGTGGAGAGACTCCTGCCGCCCGCGCTGGACCTGGCCCCCGCCCCACCCCCAGCCCCCAGCTCATCTGAGGCTATTGCACTCACTCTTTGAGCCCTGGGCGGGGGGTCTCTGGGCCTGGGCGGACCTGGCCCTGGTCACTGGCGCTTGCTCTGTGCTTCTGAGTAGCCATCTCTCTGAGGGTCTGTCCACAGGTTAAGTGAGTCTAGGGCTCCCGCTGCTTGCATTCTGATCCCCAGAGGCTCCGAAACAGGAAGTACGTGTTGGGGCACGGTGGCCGCTGTGCGCCAGCTGAGGTCTTGGGCAATGTGCAACCAGGCCAGGGGCTGAACTACCCAGCGCCTGTGGGAGGCCTAGGAAGCTGAGTGTTAGGGACCTCTCTCTTGCCCTTGCCATCCCCAACACCTGCTGCGTGTGGCAGTGGCAAGGGTGGGCACACAATGTCTCGACACTTCTGAGTGTGCAAAGGGGGTGCTATTAAAACTACAGGGGGCAAATGCTGAGCATACACTGTGAGGGCCCAGCTTGAACCCTTGCTTCTGAGGTGCCCCAGCCCCCTGCCGTCTTTGGCCTGAGGGGCCACACAATTGCTTCTGCTTTGCTCCAGAACCTTCTGCCCCCTCCTGCTTCCGGGTCTGACCTGCGTTTGTTTTTATACACACATGCCAGGGGGTCCTCGGTGGCATGGCGAGGGGAGGGTGGGGGAGGAAGGGGTGTCTCTCTGTAGTCTGGAGGGAGCAGGGGTGTGGCTGTGCTGTGTGGAGCCCCCCAGCCAGCCCTTAGCAGGACAGGAGCCCTGGGCTGTGCAGAGGCCTCACCTCCAACCCAGGCATCCAGCTTCCCGCAGCCTACGCTGCTCTGCTGAGCTGGGCCCGGGTGCTGAGAGCCAGGGCTTGGGGTAGCCCCACAGGCCCAGCAGGCGGGGAGAAGTCCGGCCCATTGCCTGGGGGGCAGGGGCAGGACAGGGGAGCAGTGAGTGTGTGCTGCAGTGGGAGCCACCTGGACATGCGGCCCTGCATCCAGGCCCCCTTGGCAGGGCCAAGGGCACGGTCACTGCGGGCTTCCCCTATGCCTGCTGCTGAGCTGGGGGCCCGGGGCCTTGAGGAGAGAGTGAGCACGTGGCCTGCCGCCTTGAGAAGCCGCAGCACCGAACTGTGTGCTCCTGGGGCCCCTTCTGCAGTTCTGGGACACTCGGCGCCAGCTGCCCTGCAGAGAGGGTCCTGTCCTCACAGCACAAGAGTCGGGGGGGTGACACCTGCTCCAACCCACAAACCCAACTCCCTTCCGCTGGCTCAGCACAAACAGCGCTGCCTGCTGGGGAGGCCTCAGCTGCAGAGCCTGGGGGCCAGGTGACTTCTAAGAACGGAGCTGCCAGAGCCCAGAGCGGGCCCTGCCGGGGCGCAGGCCCCCATTTCCGCCATGGCTTCCTCCTGCACACCTCGCGCTCTCCTCTCCCCTGGACCCTCCCGAGTAAGCGCATCTCGGCTTCGCGGTTTCCTGTTTTCAGAGACACCTACTCTGAGCTCCAGGCTCCCTCTTCATCCATGACCATGACTCTGTCTGCACAGGGGCAGGGGCAGGGGCAGGGGCAGGGGCGGGGCGCTGCGGGCCAGGTGCCTGGGACAGAGTGCGCGGGGCGGGACTGGAAGCTGGCACTGACGGAGGCCCCGGCAGGGGTGTCTGTGCCTTCAGGAAGGAGTTCACTGTGAGGACAGCACCAGGGAGGGGTGTTCGTACCTACGTCCTGTACTGGGGTCAGCGAACACCTCCCGGGGAGAGGCAGCGGCTGCGCAGCACCTGCTGGTCAGACTGGCCCTGCCTGGGGGAGGGTGTTCCGGCACTGCTGGGCCTGCCAGAGTTCCCTACTACCTGCGGCAGCCCTGGGCCTGGGCAGGGGGCTAATGCCTGGCCTTTCAGGGAGCAATGCAGTGGGGCCAAGGGGCTCCTGAGGGGACCTCCCCTCCAACCCTGACTCCCGGAAGAGGCCGTGCTGGGTGTCCCTGTAGGAGCACCACAGGGCTGCCCGGTTGTGCTGGGGGTGGGGGGAGGGGAGCATGCTAAGATTATTTTCTGGGAACTGCAATGGGCAAAAGAGGAACCGCCAGGGTGCTGGCCGCCCAGCCTCTCCCTGCTTTGCAATCAGTTCTCCTCCCCCAGGGACGCTGCGTCTCCCTGACTGTGCAGAGTTCTGGGTGGGCAGGGGCTTTGAGCTGGCTGCCGAGCTGCTGCCGGAGAGCGAGCCCCTGGGTGAGAGGCTGAGCCAGGCCGCGGCTGGTCCCCTGGAGCACGTGCTGCGGCCGGGGCCGCCTCCCACCTGCCCCCAGCTCTGGTTGCCAGCGGCTGTGCCTGGGCAGACGGGGCCTCAGCAGCCGTCACGGCCAGGCCGGGGGGTTGGGGGCAGGGTGCACAGATGTTGCTGGTTTTGCAGTTCTGGTCAGTTGGTATTGCTTCCTGGACTAGGTGTTGAGAGGGATTCTGAACTGTGGATAACAGCTGACTGAGACTGCCGAGATTGGCGGGCGATGCCTGCCCAGGAGAGGGAAGTGGCAGTACGAGTGTGTGTGCTCTGTCTGTGCTGCTCTGTTAAAATGCCCTGTGCTCCTGAAACACGTGCGTGTGAGCGAGCTATTCCTTGTTTGAGCCCCCAGCCCCACCAGGCTTCACTGTCCCCACTTCATGCATTTGGAAACCGAGGTTCTGAAGGGTTAGCCTTTTGTCAAAACGAGTGACCTGTGGGACTGGGATCCAATGCCTGGGTCTCCTGCTGCCCTGGCCCATGCCCCTCCTGGCCCCTTGTCACTGAACTGAATGGTGGTACAGCCCAGGCATGGTCTTCACCTTGGACTTAACTACAGACATATCAGGGCCTGGGGAGATGAGATAGGCCCACAAGTCCACAGATTCACCTCACTCCACATGGGCCATGTTCCTGCCTGGGCCCTGCCTGGCCCTTCTTGTGAGTCCAGAAGACCCAGCTGCCCACGTGGAGGCCCCGTGCTCTGCCCTTGGCCTGCAGTATGGGTGGGGGAGGGGAGAGCCCTCAGTTCATGGCAGGGCCTGGAGGCCTCTTGCAGGAACTGAGCCGGTGGCCTGAGCAACATCTGGGCAGCTGCAGGACACCCTTCCAGAAGCAAGGCCAGGAGAAAGTCCAGCTTCATCCATGTGTGTGCAGCACCGGGAAGGAGGCGGGTGGGGTTTCCTGAGCCCGCGCCGGTGGGGGAGGCAGGGCTTAGAGCAGAGAGCCCTGTGCACCAGACACGAGGCGTGTGCCAAGAGCAGCGTCCCCGCTCACGGACTATCAGGCGGGCCCTGCTGGGTATGTGGGCACCACGTGTCGGGGGCTGGGAGATTTTACTTGTTCTTTTGCCTGGTCCCCACCAGCCTGCTAGCCAGGGCTTTTATCACCCGCTGCCTGCAGGGAGGCCTGGGTCAGGCCGTCCTGCCTGCCCGCTGGGCTCCGCTCTTGACCTCTTTCCACCCTTCCGCCTAGCTCCTGACAGCCACTGAGACCCCTCCCCCAAGCCTGGCCTCCCACCACAGCTGTGCCGAGCCGCAGGGCCAGCGCTGGGCGGAGGCGGCCCAGGCTGCTCGCTGGAATGTCCGGCTCTCAGAACCTGGGGGAGGGGCTCAGGGAGGACAGTGGAGCTGCGGCACGGGGCGGTGCTCGGACCTTCTGGGCTTCTGGGAAGCTGCTGGCCGCTGAGCCCAGGCCCCTGCGTAGAGAGCTTCATCCCTTAAGACAAGGGCGTAAAGGAGTCTTTCTCCGGAACACCCTCCCCGGTTCCTGGCTCCCAGCAGCTGTCATGGGGCAGTGTCTCTGCTCCCTCTCCCACCAGACGCGGGGCTCCGCCTCCCAGCTCACACAGAGGTGGTGTCCAATGGAGAAAACACCCCTACACATACCCCTGGCCCCCAGGCTGGGCCCGAGCTGCAAGTGGGACTCGGAGGACAGCGCGGGGCCCGATCTGTGCAGGGTGGCACCTGCCTCCGGCCAGTAGACCTCAGGAGGGCTGTCCAGCCACTGCTTGGGACTCAGGGTGGCTGCGAGGGGCTGGGAGCATCTTGTCCCTCGTCCTCGACCCATCCAGCTATCAGCACACCCAGAGACTGGATGGTGGCCCGCCATTCTGAGAGGTTAATGTGGCCACGGTGACTTCCTGTCTCAATTCCTGCTTCTAGGGACCACTGCTGCCTCCACACCTGTGTGTTAGGAGGCGAGGGTTCCCGCTGGCTGCCGCCCTGTGAACTCCAGGGCCGTGCATATGTGTGGAGGGAGGAGGGGTGTGCTGCCTGGCCCAGGTCCGGATGGGGAAGGGTGGTGTGGCCAATGCGGACAGGTGCACACTCAAAGCCTGTCCTCTACCTCCTCCTTACAGAGTCCCAATTCTGCTTGTGGGCAGTAACGAATGTAGTTCCCTCCTCCCCCAAGTAATAAGCCAATTGTGACAACCTGCCTCACTTTTTTCTAACTTCCCTGGAGCTAAGGTGCCCTTGTGCCCATGTCTGCTCAGAGACCGAGCAAAATTCTGGAGGGTGGTTCTGGGAAAGCTTTCACCTTCCTGATAAAGGAGGAGAAGTGGCTGGCAAAGGATCAAAGTGGACTTGATGGCTGGAGCCATAGCAGCTATCTCGCAACCATGAGCAAAAGGCTAAGAAACATGAGCCCTGACATCACTGAGCCCAGCATCACCATCTGTAATTCTCTCCAGAATCCCTGTTAGGTGAAGGAACGCATCTTGATTTGTGACTCCATAGTTAAGCGTCCCTTTACTTGGAGACAAACATATCTTTCAATGCCATTGGAGGGATGACCAAGAAGAGTCACTCTGAGGGTAGGCGCAGGGTGGCAGAGTTCTGTCAATACTGGGTCCCCCCACGGCACCTCCGTGACACCCTTGCTTCCATTGCCCCTGCCCCCAGGCGGTTACAGCTGTCCTGTGAATGCTCCTCTCATTAGCCCACTTCTTGGGCCCCTGGGAGTACTGCCCCACCCCCACACCCTTCCTAGGAACTCCCCTCCCACAGCATCATTGCCAAAGGGAGGGGCTCATCTGCAAGGAGCTGCAGGCTGAGGCCTCACTTGCATCAAAACCCTGGTGGGGACGGATTGCAAGGCTGTGCCTGCTCCTGACCCCTCCGGGGGCCTCACTCTTTGCAATAGTTTGCCTCTTATTTCTTCAAACAGCGGCATTTATGTCCCCATATCAAAACCGGGCTGGTCCCGCTTTGGTCAAGAGATTTTCATGAACAGTCTTGTGCCAATGCCAAACTTGGTGCCCGTGAGGCCCCGCATGCTTCTGCTCTCTCCCCTGCAGCCTTCCCAGTGCCATAAGAACAAGCCTGGGGCTGCCCAGCTGACCTGCCACTGCCTACCCGTGAATCAGAGTGCTGTGTGGAGAGCAGAAGAACCGCCCAGCTAAGCCCAGTCTAAATCACCAGCCTGCAGAATCAGAGCTAAATAAACGGCTGCCGTTTTATGCATGTGTTGTGCCTGGTTTATAATGCAGCATAACTGTGGCAATAGACAGCAGGTACAATCCCCTCCCTCCTCTGGTTTTCCAAAGGCTTCCCGGACAACACCTGAGTGGCAGATGAAAAAACTGGTGTTCTGACAGGTTCTGACTTGCCCATAGCCATGCCCCCAGTCCAGTGCTCCCGGCTCCAAATTCCTCACTTTCAACTTATAAACAACTCCTGTGGCGGCCTGTCACCTCCTAGACCATCACCATCCAGCCCTTCAAACCCACACCTTGTCCAGCCTCGCAAACTTCAAACCTTGGCTGCGGGCAGCGGCCCTATTCATTCTAGCATCAGACCAGACCTGACATCAGCCCCCTCCAACCCCGACATGCTGCAAGTGTGTCTCCCCAGCGTGCCTTGGGGACATGACTGGGGCACCCACACAGGGTGAGTGCTGCCCCACAGTGACTGCACGGCGGGTGCACTGGGGCTGAGTCCAGCTTCCACCTGCTCCCTGGGCCAGGCCCTGATGTAGAGGCACAACCTGTACTATCTATCCCACACAGCTGCTCTGTGATAGCCAGCAGGACCAAACAGAGGTTCAGGGTCACTGGAGACCTGGGGGACCAGCAGCCCCGCCATGCACTCCATGGCCCCTGCAGACGTACTTGCAGGTTGGCCATCTCAAGGCGCGATGGCCGTGTTGTCCAGGACCCACTGCTTCCACGCACCCTGTCCCCTCCGTGGCTGCCCGTCACTCACCGACAGGGTGGGGGTGCCCTCGTCCTCCACGGTGACCACCAGGTGGTAGAAGCTCTGGCGCTCACGGTCCGGCGGGGCGGGCCGTGTGACGATTTCACCGCTGACGCGGTCCATGCGGAAGGTCATGTCCTCATTGCCCTCGGTGATGTAGTAGGACAGGACACTGTTGATCCCGATGTCACGGTCGCTGGCTCTCACCTGGACCACGGCAGTACCCCCGCCCACGTTCTGTGAGGAGAGCAGGACAGGGCTTGACGGGGATTCAGTTTGGAGGCCAAGGACTGCACCTGCACCTCCTGACATCTCAGCTCTGGAGCGACAGTGAGGACCACATGGGCGAGGGTGGGAGTTCTGTCAGCATCCAACACGGGCTGGGCCCTGGTGGCAACCCCGTTTACAGAGAGGAAAATTGAGGTGCAGGGAAGGGAGGAGTGCAGGTGCACGCAGCCCATCAGCTGAGCTGGGCTCTTCCCCGGGCTGTCCTGCTCCCATGAGTGTCCGCCCTGGCACACCGCCCAGTGACGCTGGGGTGCTCCCTCTCCCAGGGTGCCTCAACCTCACACAGCGGCTCCTCCAGGAAAAGCCGCAGTCTGCTACCAGGTGAGAGTGCTTCCTTCTCTCCTCTCTCCCCTACCACAGAACAGCTGTGGATTTCCGGGACACAGGCTGGGCATTTGGGCACAAGTAGGGGAGAATCACAGCGCTGCCCCTGGGGCGGGAGAGGCTGGCGAGCCTGGCAGAGGTGTTGGCAGGTGCATCGGGTTGGCTCATGCCACTGTCCACGCCGGATGTGCCCTCACCTCGTTCACGCTGACGTTGTAGCCCAAGGGGCTCTCGACCACGGGAGGGTTGTCGTTGACATCCAGGATGGTCACCTGCAGGAGGTGCTCCTTCTTCCGTGGGGGGCTGCCCCGGTCGGAAGCCACAACCTGCAAGGAGGGGGAGGGGACAGCAAGACTGGAGCCGGGGGCGGGACCAGGAACGTGCAGCCCACAGGATCCCCTTGGTGGGAGGGGTGGGCAGAGAGACTTGCAGACCCATCCCTGCCCTGGGGGCAGTAGAATCTTCCAGGAGCTTTCAGCTTCCGCCCTTGCTGCAGATAATCCCGGCCAGTCGGTATCTGACCTGCGATCCTCATTTAGCAGGAGGCTCGGGTGTGCCTGAGCCTTCACCTCCTGACCCTACGCCTGACCCGACCCTGGGCCTGCAACCTGGTCCAGGGCTCCCGCCTGCCCTGTGCACTCAGCGGGTGCCTGGCAGATAAGGCAAGAGCCCTGAACCAGCTTTCCAGCAGCCAGCTGGGATGCTAAGCAGAGGCCGGGCCTGGCCGTGGGAGTCTCAGTGCAGCCTGGATGACACCTGGGCTGCTGGAGCACTTCCTGGAGCCCAGAGAGCCCCTGCAAACGCGGCCGGCACTGAGACAGCAGTCCTGCCCTGGTGGCTCCCTCGGAAGGGGCAGGCCAGGTTGGGTCTTTTTTTTTTTTTTTTTTGGCCCACTGCACAGGTAGGGAAACCAAGGCCCTGGCAGAGTGAATGACTGGCTCGAGATCACAGAGGGTTTGTGGGAAACAAAGGCTCTCCCAGCAGGGCCAGGCACCAAAAAGACCCCTTCCCGGTCACCCTCCTCTAGCTGTCCCCACGGGGTGCGGCCGGCCCACAGCACCAGTGCCAGCAGGGAGGCGGCCGGCCGGCCATGAGTGGCCCAGAGCGGACGAGGGGCTGTCCCTACCTTGAGGATGTAGTGGTCCAGCTCTTCTCTGTCCAGGGGCCTGGCCACAAACACTTCGCCGATGGAGTCGTTGGTGGTGACGATCTCAAAGGCCCGGGCGATGTTTCCGGCGGCCAGGGAGAAGACCACCTGCGAGGGGGGAGAGGGAGGGAGGAGGGGTTGGGGGAGGGAGGAGTAGCGGCGGGCAGGTCAGGCCGAGGGGTGGGGCTGGTGGCCACCTGCTCCCTGCTGGACCCTGGGTTCAGCGAGCGCCCTGCACAGCAGAGCGGACGGCGAGATCTCAGAGGGGCACTGACCATGGCAGGTGCCTGGGCCTGGAGGCCAGGGCACAGGGCGGGGGGACTGTCTTCCCAGGGGATTCTACTGGCCCTTCCTACATCCCTGCTGAGAAGTTTCCAGGGGTGAGGACGAACACGAGTGACCAAACCTCCCACTGTTCCCCCAGTTCCCGGAAGGGATGAAAGTGATGCGAGCACCGAGCCCACCCCCCCTTGTATCCAGGCCTAGAGGGAGGGACTACCTCCTGCTGTAGAAGGGGAGGGTGTGTCCTCAGGAGCACCTGGGCTGCGGGGGCAGGGCTGGCTCACAAGGAACCAGGTGCTGCGTGGACTGTGGACCCGGGGCATTGCCGGAAAACCCAGGCCCTCTGCTGCCTCCTCGCTGCGGGGCGGGGCTGCGGCCTGCCCCAGGGATCCGGTGCCCGAGCTCCAGGCATGGCCCTGGCTGCATAGCTCCATGGGGCGGCTGGGCCTGGTCTCCCTCCTGGGGGTCCTGAGCGGGGTCTGGGACAGTTCAGACGGCCTCCTCCAGGGGGAGCAGCCCTGACAGTCCCCACACACAGGCTGGTCCCTGCCGGGTCCCCGGGGCGCCTACCTGCCCATTGCTGCCGGCGTCAGGGTCCTGGGCCTTGACGGTGGCCACCCGCTGGCCCACGGCGCAGTCCTCGGGCACGCTGACCGCCGAGTCGGAGGTGACGTCAAAGCGCGGGCTGTTGTCATTCTCGTCCAGCACCGTGATGTAGACCTGGGGGCGAGCGCGACACAGCCTATGTCGGCTCCAGCTCCTCGCCGGGCCCGAGGCCGGCCGCAGCCGTCAGCTCCAGAGCCCGCCGGGGCATCAGAGGCGGCACGAGCCCCATTGCCCTCGTGGTCTGGGGGTCCCTGGGCACACTCACAGCAAGGGGCAAGGTGTGTGGTGGAGGGGAGGTGCTCAGAGCAGTGGGGACAGGGACAGCCCAGCCGGGGCTAGAGAGGAAGGAGGGGCAGGTGTCAGGGCACAGCAGGTGAAAACCAGTGCCCCCGCTGTTCCTCAGAACGAAAACACCAAGGCCCCTGGGATCTGATCCCCGACGCATGCCCCGCTCTGGGCAAGGCTTGCTAAGGCTCACCGTGCCTCCTCACACCACAGGGCCTTTGCACACGGGGTTCCTGCTGCCAAAGGCTCTTCCTTCTTGGCTGTGGTCATTCCTAAGCACACTGTGGATCTCAGCCTGAGGCACTTCCTCAGGGAAGCCCTCCTTGATCTCCCTGACATCCTCTTACAGGTGTTCTCGTGGGGCCCACATTTCCTGCTCTGATCCTCGGATCAGGTCTTTCCCTCACTCTGCCTTCTGCCTACGAGGCCAGGTGCTGTGTCCGGGCTTGGTTTCCTGCTGACGCTCAGGGCCTGGCCCACGGCAGGGTCCCCACCGCGACTACGACTCAGTCATGGTGAGGGTGGTGAGGTGGGGGCGAGGGGCAGCTGAGCACCCTGGCAGGAGGCCCTGGGCCTCTGTGGGGGAGAAAGGATGGGTGCAAGGTCTGGGGAACACCCAGGGCCCACACGTCCCTCCCTAGCCCCCAAGGCCCGTGGCCCGTGGTGCCACCCAGAGCTCCTCCGACAGAGCCCCTGGACCCTGCCACCCCTTCCTCTCTGCCTCCCCACCCTCTGGGCCTGCAGGAGCTGCTGGGCCAGGGAGGAGCCAGGTGGAGGTGAGCTGTGGTTTGGGTTCTGACCCCGCGGAGGAAATAACATTATCTCCGAAGGCCCCTTGGTGGGCCCCCGCCCCAGCCCTCGCACAGGGTGTGCGGCTGGCGGGGCCGCTGCAGCTGGGGCAGTGGGAGCCACGGAGAGGAAGCCGGGGCAGAGCACGGCGGGGCGGGCCTGTTTCCTGGAAGAGGGCGAAGCCGCTGTGGAATCAGCGGCCCCCGGCGGGACTGTGCGCTCTGAGGCTGCAGTGCCCCGCCCACAGCAGGTGCGGGCAGCTTCAGTGGGCGTCGCCCAGCTCCTGAGTCCTCAGGGCACCCTGTGGCTGGGGAGCAGCTGGGCCCACTTTGCAAATGAAACTGCTGAGGCTTAGTAGACACACTCCACGCAACCTCTCTCAGGCTCGGATCCTCTGGCTGGGAGCTGCAGGACATTGGCCACCGCCCACCACCAGCCAGCCCCCTGCCTTCCACAGGCTGGGGTTCACTGACCCCCACAGCCACGCTCCTCCTGGCAGACTCTGGGGATGGAGGGGGCCTCTGGGTGTAGCCAGGGCCGGGGGGCT